CTCAGTTGTAACCCATCTGTTACTGGGCCCATCAAAGGCATTCTTTATTTCTGCTACTGTTTTTTTTATCTCTGATATTTATTTTTTAATTTTTTCTTAGAATTTTCATCTCTCTGTTTACATTATTTATGTGTTCTTGCATGTTGCCTACTTCATTCATTAAAGCCCTTATTATTTTAATTATAGTTTAAAAATTTTTTTGGTCTGATAATTCCAACACTCCTGCCATATTTGACTCTTGTTCTGATACTCGTTTAGTGTCTGCAAAATGTGTTTTTAGCCTTTACAAGCTTTATAATTTTTTTGTAAGGTGGGCATGAGTCCTGGGTAAAAGGAGCTGCAGTAAATAGGCATCTAGTAATGTAATAAGATGTATGGAGAAGAGAAGCATTTTATAGTCCTATGGTTGCCTCTTAGTCCTTTGGTGAGCCTGTGCCCTGGGGCTGTGGGCTGCACAAGTGCTGCTGGGTCGTTCCCCACTCGGTGGAATTGGATGGCTGGAGCGGGGCTGGAGGTGGATGGTTACCTTAGGCTCAGAAAAACTCCAGCAGGTTAGCCCTCTGGTAATATAGCCCTCTCCTGAATGCAAGCCTTATTAACAAGAACAGAATGCTCTAGCCTGTATCAAATTGTCCCTCTTTTCTTCCTCCTGCTATAAGCACCAGGGGATTTTTCTTTATTATTCACTATGAGGACCTGGTAGATGTCCTGGAAGTAAAACTCACAAAAATGTGCTCCCCTCCAGCCCCATTACTGGGTTCCATTGGGAGCCTTTTTAATTTTCAGCCTTATTCTCAGAGTCCCCAGGAATTCATCAAGTACAATTTAACTTTTCTACCCAGATACCAGTAATTTGGAGGTTTCTGTCATGGGCTCTATGTCTGTCATTTGTGATTTTTCTGTATTGGCTTGTCTCTTTCTCCAGTTTTGGTGGCAGCAGTTTGCCCTGTGAATTCACTTCTCTGAAGAATTAAGAAGAATAGTATATTTTTTAATTTGTTCGGATTTTTACTTGTTAGGAGGGAGTGGTGACTCATAGCATTATTTTTAATTAAATATTTTGATATAATTTAAATAAATTCATAAATGTGATCATACAATACCTTAATTTATATTTTATTCTTTCTCTGATCGTCCTTCTTTGCCCGGCACTCTTCTCTCTAACTTTCCTCTAGGTGTCATGGACTCTCTTTCACCAGTCAAGGTAATGAATGTATTAATAACCGAGTATGTCTCCTCCATGTTTTTCTCTCTATATCAGTGCATACAAATATTAATTCCAAGTTATTTGACATTGATTTAATAGAAACAAGATCATATTTTACATGTTTCTCAGCATGTAACTTTCTTCATAAACCTAACCTCTTGGAAAATTACTGCAATTCAACTGGAATAGCTTTAATTCATTCCTTTTAATGTCTGCACAATAGTCAATAGAGAGGCTGTGCCTGTAGTTAATTCAGCTGTTACCCTATTGCATCTCAAAACAGGATTCTCAAAAGAATTCTCAATAGCATTCTCAAAAGACTCTTGATGATTACCATGCAAGGTTTAAGGAACCATCGGCTCAGAATACACTACACTTAGAATTAGGAACTACGAGTTTAGTCTTCACCTGTTACACTTTTACCATTGTGAATAAAGAAGGTGTGGAACTTTTAAAGACCTGTATAAGCTCTGTAGTGAAAAGGAGCCAAGAAAAAAAGCAAGCTATAAAACTCTATAGTTATCTGCTCTGTTAAAAAGGCCAGATAATAAAAACAATTTTTTCTTACGCCAAAGAAACTCCTCAGTAGAGTAGGAAGCAACACCCTGCTACTGCTGGTGCTGCCACCTATGCGATAAGACAGGCTCCCTTCTGAGGCGGCCGAGGCCACGCACTCTAGTGCGCATGTTCTGTGTAATGCCTTCCCCTGGGAGGGGCGGGACTATGCCTGTGATAGCGAGTGCCTATGATGGTTTTCACGCCTGTCATAGTGTTATGTGATAAGAACAAAGGCCCCAAATCCATTGATTTTGAGTTAATAAATAGCAAGATTATCCCATCACTGAATTGAAGCCCTTACAAAAGGTCAGATTTGAAGAGGGAAAGATATTTTCTTCTGCTGGTTTGGAAGAAGCAGACAACCATGCCGCGAGAGAGCAGAGGGGCAGGGCCAGACACAGGACGGCCTCTTAGAGCTGGAAGCAAACCCTCCCCAAGGGTCAGTGTGAAAACAAAGTCCTCAGTCCTATAGCTTCAAGGAGCTAAATCCTTCTGAGCCCCTCATCGGTAAGCAACCAATGAGGGGCTCAAAAGAAGGCCCCAGGCACAGACAAGATCAGAACCAGGGCTGACATTGCGACTGCAGCCTTGTGAGGCCCTGGGCGAAACACTCACTCGGTTACACCATATCTGGATGACTGACTGATAGAAATTTAAGATAATAAGTGGGTGTTGTTTTGAAACATGGAGTTTCTGGTAATTGACTCTACAGTAACAGAAAACTAATACAGTGACCTTAGAAAATACCCAAGTCCAGTCTTCACCACTACAATGTAAGATAGTAGGCCTAGAGAACTAGCTTTCTGGTTGCAGAACACTATATTTTTACTATTCTACTGTAGATCAAAATCAAACCTCTCTTTCCAGGATACTGTCAGTCAACAGAAACAGTATTTGTTTAAAGGAACAGTGTTGGGGAAGGATAGCACTCTTTTGGAACACTGCATTCATTCACAACCTTCCATTTTAACTTGTCATTAGAATGATCTGACATGCTTTAGATCTGGAATGTTTTGTGAGTACTTTGCAATTAAATAAAAATCTTCCAGGCAGATTTAGAAAGAAACGTTTTCATAGAGTTAAATAAAATGGTAAGTGAGTGAACAATAGTGAGGTAGAGAAGATTTAGAAAGCGAGGTCAGCTGTCGTAATAATCCATTTCTCAACATTGACCTTGAGCAACCGTCGCTTTGAGATAAAACCGGGGGACTGCCATTCCCCCTGGTACTTTGCTCCCCCTTCTCCCACCACCAACAAATTTACATGTTGAAGTCCTAACCCTAAATTCCTCAGAATGCCGCCTTATAAGGAAACAGAATGTGACAGACATAATAAATTCAGATGAAGTCACTAGGGTAGGTCCTAATCTGGTATGACCGGTGTCCTTATAACAAGGGGCAACTTGAACACAAACATGCACACAGGGAGAACACCCTGAGAAGAAGAAGACAAAGATCAGGATTAGGCTTCTACAAGCCAACAAAAGCCAGAGATTACAAGCAAACCAACAACAAAGGGAGGCATGAAATAGACTCTTCCTCAAAGGCTTCCGAAGAAGCAAACCTTGCTGACAATTCCATGTTGAAGTTTTATCCTCCAGAACTGTGAGATATTAAATTTCTGTTGTTTAAGCCATCCGGCCTGTATACTTAGAGATGGCAGCCCTAGCAAAGTGATGCATTATCCATACAGAAATATAATATTAATGGTAATAATCAAATTATGGTTTTGTATAGTATAACAATGTGGCATTTTATCTCTCAACAGCCCATTGAAAATGTTTTCTACTTCATTAATAATGCTGTAATAAACCTGCAGCTTTGTCTATATGGCATTTATCTTTTTGTGAGTAATGAATGTCCTTTGAACACATTCTAGGAAATGGAAATCCCTTACCAATCTTTTACTGTTTAGAATGGTTTAAAAAAAAAAAGTGACTGAATATTTTATGCCTTGGAAAAGTTTTGCTAAACTGCTTTCCAAAGAACTGTAAGAGTTCCTTCCACCTGCTTTGTGATGAATGATTTCAACACTTTCTCACCAACATTTGACAGTATCTTTTCAAGTACTGTCACACACGTTTTGGGAACACAAAGAGTTTATTTACTTGGTCCTAACTTTTCCTCTCTCTGTTGCTTTCAGGTGGTCTCCAGAGGAAATTAACCACAAGGTCTTTGGACTATACTTTCCTTAACACTTTTAGTCAAAGAGAATCCAGAAGAGAATCCAAATGGGTGAAAAAATTTTAATGCAAGAAATAGCTTATTTCATTAATTCTAACCTTCGTGAATTTTATGTCTTTGATGGCGATTGTTGTAATGAAGAGAATGAAGACAGTTTATAAAGCAATATTCTTTTCAGGATTTTCTTAAGGTAGCATATCTATGCGGGAAGTTGTCTTTCACGGTGTCCAAGGAATTAGACTGGGCGTTGGCCGGTTTTTTCGTACTTGCCCAATGAGAACTGTGACTGTCCCACTGACCTGCCTGTCTTTCCCTCTGTAAGTTTGCCCTGACAATAACCAAATCTAAGCCTCCTAAAAAGCAATCACGCTAAGAAACCAAACGTCTTTAAAAAAAAAAATCTGGAGAACGGCTGCTGAGCAAAGCCAACCTGCCACTGCTCCTTCACCCCGCATCTGATCTCTACCCACCTGCCCACTGCCCCCGCACCTTACGATGATCTCCGCCCTCCACTTCTGGTTCTGAGTAAACCGCGTCTTCAGCCCCGCCTGAGTTTTTGAAAGGACACTGCGCTGGTGGGTCGTTCAGGGGCGCCTCCCGCAGAGTTTGGGGCAGGTCGATACAAGAGCATCCCTCCCACGGGGTGTGCAGAGCGGCTGAGCCGAGTAAACTTCGATTTTTGCCCGCCTTCTCGGCTAGGGTGGGTGGGGAAAGATGTGTCCTCCTAGTGTTTGGACCAGAACTTTTGACCCTTTGTCTGTCTGTCTGTCTTTCTCTATCCTCCCTCCCTCCCTCCTCTCCTTTCTGAAGTGTGGGGGCTCTCCTTTTCCAGACTAGAGAGGGGCGCGTCTCCCATTCCCTTTCCCCTCGCCCACCTATTAAAAATGAGGGGGGGGGGCGGTCCCTGGAGGAATAGCGTGGATCTGCCGAGTGCTGAATGAATGGAGGCTCGGGGCTGGCCCGAACGCGCGGCCGCCCCGCCCTCCGCGCTGTGGCCCTGCGGCCCGCAGGACCCCCGCCAACCGCTCGCCCTCCTTCCGCCCCAGCCGGGGCCGCCGCGGGCTCGGCGCCCGAGGCGGAGGCCGCGGGGAAGGTCGGGGGGGAGGGCGGTTTCCTCCCGCCCCACACCCAGCCTGCGAGCCGGATATATAGTGTAACGTTCGGGAGCCGAAAGACTAGAGCGGTTTGCTAGTGGCTGGAGTTATTTCCCGTGGCCTCGGGGAAGGACCGGGATTTGGAGCAGCGCTCGTTGAACCCCAGCCCGAGCCGTGGGCGCAGGTATTCCAGGGGCGGCAGCCCAGGCGCCGGCAGAGCCCGCGTCTGGCCGGGCGGAGCGCGGGCTGGGTGGGCGGGAAGGGCGGGTCCCCGCAGGGCCGGAGGCAGGGTCCGGTGGGCGTCCGGCTTGGCCGGGGCGCCCAGGCTGCCGCGGCAGCGCCCCCGCTGACCCTGCGGGCGGCGGGCGGTTTCGGGCGCCCGGGCGCCCGCAAAGCCCGCGGAGGTACGGTGCGCAGGGGCGGGAACAGCGGCGAGGGGCCCGGGCCCGCGAGGGTTAACGTGGAGAGCCGCGCCGGAGCTGCCGGGGTCGAGGGGGAGAGCTGCCTGGCCGGGGCTCTCCCAGGCCTCCTGGGCCCCGGGGTCGGTTCCTAGAGAGAACACGCCGACCCTGGGACTGCGAGGGGCGCGGCGTCCTCCCGCCGCCCCGCCTGCGTTTCCCGCTTCCCTCTGCCCAAAACCGAGATCGCGGCTTTGCGCGTCCCCAACCGGGGGCAGTGCGTGCGCATCTAAGCCCTCTCCCAGAACCCCCTCCCCCGTTCCAGCCTGGGGCACCGGGGCGGGGCCTGTCCCAGTTGAAAGTTTCGACCTCTTCCTGTGGCCCGGGCATCGTGCAGATAGATAGCAGGGGTACAAGTACCAGAAGACTCCAGTTGCAGTAGATGGCCTCTGGGAAGGCAAGTTAAGATTACCCGCGGGGCAATTCCATTCCATTGAGAAAACAAATGAGCAACTGAGTCCTAGAAACCACTGGAAGGCGGCGCACTTGCCAGTCTCCTACTCTTTCATCGTCAGGTCTGGGTAGATTTATGAAAACATTCTTCAGTGGATGAGCTACCTGGTGGGAGCAACCACAGTTCTCTCTGAAACCCAAGAGCCTTGGCAGCCAGAGAAATCATGTAGAATGCCCACGGTGCTATGGTAGCAAGAACAGAGAGGGCAGGGCAGAGTGACCAGGAAACAATTCACGCGTGCTCTTTCTCCTTGCGCGAGACTGCATCGAGAGAAGTGTGACACTGTGCAAATGGAAATATGGAAATATGGAATTACTCTGTGGATTCAATGACCCATCTCTCCATATCCCCATTTTTAGTCTAAAAAGTGCAAAGGGACTGAAGACAGTTTTAAGGCAGCCACTCAAACAGCAAAAGCAGGCTTTTCAGCAAAATCCACATTTTGGGATATTTGTGTGTGACACCTCTAAGAGATGGCCACCGCTGGCAGGATGCATGTCTTTTGATTTCTCTTTTCCTTTTTCTGAGGGTATCTTCTCCCCCGGGCTTTATTATTGTAACAAAATCCTACCTTACTCCAATTCCTAACATTGGGTTATAATTATATATAAAATAAATTGCAGCGAGTTGGCAGATCTTCCAGTGATACATTTCTCCTTTATTTAAAGGAAAGAATATGACGCCTAATTACAGAAGAAGGGGAACCTTCCTTTAAGGGGGTGAAAATAAAGAAAATAATTCATTATCAGCTACTACTTTGGGGTTGATAAAGCATATGGTCATCTTGAATACCTCACTATTTGATTTCCTGTATTTTGAAGGTGCGTTCTTGAGCATATTTCTTTCTGGCAACATTTTTGGTTCTTGTATTCATTTCCCTGCTTTCATGAGAACTCACTCATTCATAAATATTCTCATGAAGAGTCATGCACAGTAACCACCCCCATGCTGGTCCCTGCCAATCTGTCCTGACATTGTAGGCTCTGTGAGAACGTTCACTGCTCTTGAAGATTTATTCTTAACACTTTGTTGTATTAACAGACCACTGTAAAAATCTGGCAAAAGCTGTGAAATACAAGAAACAATCATTTGCACATTCACACCGAATTCTGCTTGAAGGTTCAGGGTCTCCTTAGTGCCCAGATGTCAGCCATCCACAGACCCTAGGCAGGCCCCGCTTCAGGGACACACGGCTGTGCTGTCACACAGGGCCCTGGACTGGGAGGGGCCCCCATGCTTGGTTTAATGTTCTGTCCCCTTTGGCTGCCTTAATAAATTTCAAACAAGGAGCTCCAAATGCTCACTCTACAGGAGATTCTGCAAATTCTGCAGCCAGTTCTGACCCCAGGGTAACAACCCTGTCCTAGAACTCACTGAACAGCAGCATTGTCTCCTAACAATTCTACAGTTCAGGGGAATTCTCCAGCACAAGTGAGCTGCTGCAGACTATATCAATAAGCCCTCTATGCCCAGCTTCCTCATTGACAAAATAAAGACAACAGACAGTATCTTCTACTCCATTCATCTTAAAAGCTTGTTGTGAAGCTACACTAGGTAAAGAGTCGGGATTGTGAAAATGTCTACTTACCTTGAACAATTCTACACTAACAAAGACGGTGTTGTTATGTGCTTAACTTTTCTACACCATTTTTTCAGAAGGAAGTTGAGGAAGGTTGGCTTAGTATAAGAAAAGATCGCAGATCCTTTATAAGCCTTACATTTTGGTGGGGGGGAAAGTAGATGAGGTATTCAGTTTTTTAAATATTCCTCAAATATCATTGTTTGGACAAGATGAGAAGTGGCAACACCAAGCACAGAATGACTTCACGGATCCCAAAGAAACTTTCCGAATTAAGTTGATTGAGTCTAATTCATCCAAATATTAAATGAAGAGAAACTGAGTCAGTGATTGACATTTTTTGAGGGTGTACTCCTCATAGTTTCGCTTAAATTTTAAAAATCCCTATTTTCAAAATCTTGAACAAGTCACTCTTTTATACATTCTAGGAGATGCCTAGCAATATAAAACACACCTATTCCCTTATCAAGTTGTCCTCACCTCCTGCAGTACTGCTGGAGGAAGTGAGAGACTGGGCGAGTCCTCTGTCTTCACAGTCCTTCCCTAATTACTTCTCTCTGACCTCAGACCTTATCTTTATTCCAGCTTTCACTCCCAGCATAATCACAACACGCTCAGAAGGGCTGAGGAAGAAGAGAAAGTGAAAGGAAATGGGTCAAACCCCCATGTCAATGCCTTCACTAAAGGGGGTAGATGGAGACTTCTTCCCTGCAACTGCTCTGCGCAGGGGCCTGCTGTATACTTTAGGCTATGAATACCAAGTCCTGCACTTGATAGACTTACGACATCATTGGCAAGACAGAGTATGTAAATATAAGGTGTTAATTAATAAGAGCAGATAAGTTGTTACAAGATATTATAAGATTTGGCATGGAAGGAATGGTAGAGAAAATAAGTGCAATGAGTGCCCCCAAAAAGAGTAAAAGAAACTGAGGTGGTTAGTGAAGCTTAAGTGGGGAGTTGCATGAGGTGTCCCTTAAAGTTCCACTTGTAACAGAGAAGAATGAGCGTATGAGTCATCTGCATGACAAGTTTGCAAAAAAATGACAATCTGGATGGAACTAAATTTCGTGTAAAGAAAAGACAAGAAATAAAACCATAAGAGAAGTTTCCATTGCTTAGCTTCACTCATATAACAAATCATTATTAAGCCCATTCTGTGACCAGAGACATTGCCAGTTTTACAGCATTTTGTGTTAAATAAAGCAGATATGCTACTTATTCTTTTGGAACTTACAGACATTGAAAAAATAAACATATAATAACAAATTGTTGGAAGTAGTATGGAAAACAAAGTATTATGTAAAAAAACAGAGGGGCTGGCTCAGATGTGCTCTGGGAAGGTCTTTTTGACAAAAAGAGATTTAAATTAATATTTAAAAGAAGCATATGGGATGACTTGGCAAAAAAGAAAATTGGGGGAGGATATTCTGGGCAGAGGAAATAGGCAATGGAAAGGCTTTAAGGAGACAAGAAGGCCGGCTGGAAGTGTCCAGAGGCACGAGTGCTTCGAGTTTGGTGAGGGTTATGCCGGGTCTGGATATGGGTGTGAGGAGTTGAGAAGGAGCCTAGTCATGCTAAATTTCACAGATCTTGGTAAAGATTTTGAATTTTATTTTAGTGGGAAGCCTTGGAAAACTTGGAAGCCCGAGACTGTCTAATTTGTATTTTAAGGAGATCTTTATGGCTACCGTAAGAGAATGGACTAGAGGGGTAAAGGATGAGAAGTGGGAAACCAACTAGGACAGAGCGCTGATGAGAGCACCTTCCAGGCAGATGGAGAGAAGAGAGATGCATTTCAAAAGTAGAGTTGACAGAAGTCAGCGCAGCAGCAGATGTGGAAGGTGGTGAGGCAGGAAAGATTGTGAGAGTGAAGTCCTTCCATAGGTACTTCTGAATGTTTATAATCTAAAACAATAGGCTCACCTGCGTGTGCCTGAGAGTTGCATAAGAACTGAAAGGTGAAATGTGAACTGCTAACCCCACTTTGTACCTCTAGAATGTAGGCCAGGCTGTGGGTAGAGATGGGCGAGAGGCGGGATCCGACTTTTGCTTTTCATGCTGTCATTTGTACTGTTGGGATTATTTTAAAATCATGCATTTCACAATCACTTAAAGGTTGCCACCGCAACAAATAAGGCTCCTGTTTTTCTGGCTTGAGTTCGTGGATAGAATATGTGGTAATTTCTTAAAATGACAAAAACTAGGAGAAAAAGGACTGGTCCTCACTGAAGTGGTTGTTCTAAATTATAACTCACTCCCTTGCATAAAACCTTTAAATTCTTCCCCCTTGTCTATATCAAGGTTTCCCAAAATGTTTTCTCTGGAGTATTAGTTTCTTGGAATATTAATAACAGTTGTATGAAAGGGAAAAAAAAGCTTTCCTAATTGTGTAAGCTTGAGAAATCCTTGATTTAGCCTGAGCAGTTTTATTGCAAGAATCCTCAGAACCTTTAATATACTCATGCTTATTAAGAATCGTCAAAAAAGAAGAGGTATTTTATGCCACATCTCCTGGACTGACTTGACCTTGAAATGCTTTTTTGGCAGAACATCTAACAGAGTCAGCATTCAGCATAACACGCTTTGGGAAATGCTGCCCTATATTAATAGATTAAGCCTTTTAACATCCATGGCTCTCTATTAACCATCAGCTTCTCTCGTGTCTTTCATGCTACTTAGTTGGAAGAAAGTAGGAGGCCAGAATTGACCCCGTTAATGGGTTTTAAGTTGATGATCAAAATAATTCTGCTATATAGATAAGACATAAAGAGATATTCACAAACAAGATCTGCAATCTGATTTAAAACATTTATTTTTAAAAAAATTCTACTCTCTGATACGGCTTAAAGGACCTCTCTGAGGTCCATTCTGTCAAGTCTAGAGGAACCCGACACACAAACAGCAGGGGAGACTAGTAGGTCTGGGCCCTGTTTGATGTTTGTAATGTATCTGCTGCAGAGCCACACACTGTGAATATACAGGGCGTGTGATTTTGTGATGAATCTCATGCATACATTCTTTCTTGGTCCCCACTGCATTTGCACGGCAGTGGGGTGGAGGCAGGAATGCAATCTGTGGCCAAAGAGCAATGCAACAGAGTGAGACAGAAAAGAAGGGTTTACACAGCTACGAACTTGGTGGTGGCTTCATCCACTTGGTGCTGGAACCCAGGATCGGTAAGCTATGGCCTGAGTGCTGAATTTGGCCCCAGCCTATTCTTGTAGAACCCTTGAACTGAGAATGGATTTTATATCTTTAAGAGGTCGGAAAAAATAAAAAACAAGAATATTCTGTAGCATATGATATGTGGAATGCAAATTTCTGTGCCCGTAAATAAAGTTTAATCAGAGACCAGCCAGTATCCTGCATTGATTCATCATCATGGCAATGGCTGCTTTAGTGCCCCACTCAGTGAATGATTGTGACCTGCAAAGACTAATACGAGGTATGTCCAGAAAAAGGCCACCCATTGTTAATGTAATGAGAATGGTTCGTGTGACATTGATGTAACCTGGCAGCCAAGGAGAGTGGACTGAAATGTGCATGTGTGAACAATGATGACTTCACTGTACTAGGCAGTGGGGGCTGTAGATGCTACTGAGTGAGCATGTGTCCTGTGTGGATATCAAATTCAAAATGAGCAAATCTGCATCAAGTTTTGCATTAAGTTTGAACATTCCCCCTCAGAAACTAGTCAGATGATTCAGAAGGCTTTGGGGGATGATGCAATGAGTGCAACACAAATAAAAATGTGGCACAAATCCTTCAAAGATGATCAAGAATCTGTTGAAAGTGATCTTTGTTTGTGAAGGCCTGCAACAAACAGAACACCTGAGAATGTTGTATGTGTAGGGGCTGCAATCAACAAAGATCGTCAACCCAGGCGACTCAGCCCCCTGCAGCCCAGATTAGGTGCCCTGTGACTTCTGGCTTTTCCCCAAACTAAAATCACCTTTGAAAAGGGAAGAGATTTCAGACCATCCAGGAAAATATGACAAGGCAGGTGATGGAGATTCCAACCAAGGATTTTGCAGGGTCTTTTGAACAGTGGAAGAGATGCTGGGAGAACTGTGTGAGGTCCCAGGGACCTCACTTCGAAGGGAATTGAGGCGTCATTCTCCTATGAACAATATTTCTTGTATCTTGTATCTTTTTCAATAAATGCCTCAATTTTTCATAATACATGGCTAGGTACTTTCTGGACAGACCTTCATATATCTAGCATCTGTCCTTTTATAG